CATTAGTGTTTAGGGTGTTTCTACACTTTGGCTGTTGTAAATAATGCTGAATAAACATGGGCTACAAATATCTCTCTGAGATAATGGCTTCATTTTCTTTCTTTCTTTTTTTTTTTTTGTTTGTTTCATTTTCTTTAGATATATATATATCCAGAAGTGAAATTGCTGGATCATAAGGCAGCTCCATTTTTAATTTTTTAAGGAGTCCCCATACTGTTTTCCATAGTGGCTGTACCAATTTATATTCCCACCAACAATGCACGAGGGTTCCCTTCTCTCCACATTCTTGCCAACACTTGTTTCCCCCCATCTTTTTGATGCTAGCCATTGGAACAGACGTGAGGTGATACCTCCTTGTGGCTTTGATTTGCATTTCCTTGATGATTACTGATGTTGAGCACCTTTTCATGTACCTTTTGGACATTTGTATGTCTTTTTGGAAAAATGTCCATGTAGGTCCACTGCTTTTACTTGGGTTATTTGTTTGCTATTGAATTGTATGAGTTCCTTATATATTTTGTATATGAACCCATTAGATAGGTGGCTTGCAGATAATTTCTTCTATTTCTCATCTTGCTTTTAATTTTGTTGCTGATTTATTTTGCTGTACAGAAGTTTTTTAGTTTGATGTAGTTCCACTTGTTTATTTTTGCTTTTGTTGCCTTTGCTTTGATGTGAATTCCAAAAAAAAAAATTATTGCCAAAAGAGATATCAAGAAGCTTAGCCGCTTGTTTTTTCTAGAAGTCTTATAATTTCAGGTCTTAGGTTCACGTCCTTAATTCATTTTGAGTTGATTTTTGTCTATGGTATAAGATAGGGGCCCAGTTTCATTTTTCCCCTGTGGCTGTCTAGATTTTTTAGGCCCATTTATTAAAAGACGATTTTTCCTGTTGTATATTCACTGAGTGTTTGTCATACATGGCCTTTATTATGTTGAGTTGCATTCCCTACCCACTTTGCCTCTTTGTCATAAATTAATTGATCATATAGCTGTGGCTTTATTTCTGGGCCTTTAATTCTGTTCCGTTAATCTATATGTCTATTTTATGCCAACACCATGATGTTTTGACATAGCTTTGTGGTGTAGTTTGAAATTAGGAAGTGTGAGGACTCCAGGTTTGTTTTTCTTTCTCGAGATTGCTTTGCTACTTGGGGTCTTTTGTGGTTCCATACAGATTTTAGGATTGCTTCTCTTTCTGTGAAAAATGCCATTGCAATTTTGATAGGGATTGCATTGAATCTGTAGATCACTTTGGGGAGCATGGACATTTTAACAACATTAATTCTTACAATTCATGAGCACAAAATAGCTTTCCATTTATTTGTATCTTCAATTTCTTTCATCAATGTCTTATAGTTCTCAGTGTACAAGTCTTTTACTTCCTTGGTTAAAGTTATTCCTAAGTATTTTATCCTTTTGGATGCTATTGTAAATAGGATTGTTTTCTTAATTGGTCTTTTGGAGAGTTCAGTGTAAAAAATACAACAGAGTTTTGAATATTGATTTTATATCCTGCAGCTTTAATGAATTCATTTACAAATTCTAACAGTTTTGGGTAGAGTCTTTAGGGCTTTCTGTATATAATCTCATGTCATCTGTACATAGTGACAGTTTTACTTCTTCCTTTCTGTTTGGATACATTTTATTTCTTTTTCTTGCCTAGTTCCTCTGGCTAGGCCTCCTAATACTATCTATACCAGCCGTGGGCAAACTACGGCCCGCGGGCCGGATCTGGCCCATTTGAAATGAATAAAACTAAAAAAAAAAAAAGACCGTACCCTTTTATGTAATGATGTTTATTTTGAATTTATATTAGTTCACACAAACACTCCATCCATGCTTTTGTTCCAGCCCTCCGGTCCAGTTTAAGAACCCATTGTGGCCCTCGAGTCAAAAAGTTTGCCCACCCCTGATCTATACTAATAAAGGGGTAATATGCTAATTAGACCAGACATCTGGATGTCCTTCCAGACAAAGCCATGGTGGTGGGGGCCAAGGCAGAAGTGGTTAGGGGCAATCAGGGCAGTAGGGCAGTCAGGGGGCAATCAGGCTGGCAGGAGAGGGCAGTTAGGGTGTGATCAGACCAGCAGGGGAGGGAAGTTAAGGGGCAATCAGGCTGGCAGGGGAGCAGTTAGGGTGCTATCAGACAGGCAGGCAGAGGCAGTTAGGAGTGATCAGGCAGGCAGGCAGGTGAGTGGTTAGGAGCCAGCGGTCCCAGTTTGTGAGAGGGATGTCTGACTGCCAATTGTGGGATTGGGCCTAACCTGGCAGTTGGACATCCCCTGAGGGGTCCCGGATTGGAGAGGGTACAGGCCAGGCTGAGGGGACATGAATTTTATGCACCGGGCTTCTATTATTGAATAAAAGTGGCAAAAGTGGGCATCATTGTCTTGTTCCTAATCTTAGAGGAAAGGTTCTCAGTGTTTCACTGTTGGATATGATGTTTGCTGTGCGTTTGTCATTATGTTGAAGTACATTCCCTCTCTAACCACTTTGTCAGGAGGTGAAGTACATTCTCTTTCTTAAGAAGAGAAGACGGACTGTGTGAGCTCAGATTCTATTTCTGCAGCAGACATCAGGATATAAATGATCTCAGGTTTACATATTCCCAAAGGGCCATTAATTGGGATCCTTAGGGTGTCATGGCTAATGAAGTCAAACTAAGCATTTTAAGGCATTACTTACTCTAACACAGCTATACAAAGTAAGGCTGTCATAAAGTCATAGTTTTGAACAGCAGGGTAAATTTACATGAAATGTCATACCTGTGCCTCTCCTTCCCATCTGGTATGTAGGTGTTTTCATTTGCAAAAGATAAATCCATGCCAAGAATTCAACTGGACACAACCTAAAAGTACTTTAATCTTAGTGCATACCTTGAGGGTGGGGAGCCAGCTTTCCTTGGCAACCTTGTGCAAAGCATCCGCACAAATGTCACATTTATAAACATAGTCTTGCTTTAAAGGTGGTAATGGGGTTATTAGAATTTGGGAGCAGGTATAGCTTGAAGAACATATTGTAAACCTACTACTTAATACAAATGGTCAAACTTAAAGTTGGCCAAATTGTTTTTAGAAGCTATGCAGAAGATGGAGTACAAGTCAGCATTGTAGGGAGCATGAGAGATTGTTCTATGGAAACAGAATCCATCCCCAAGATCTCAAAATGAGCATTTTGACTAAGTTTGAGGTGAGTAGAGGATGTCATAAATAATACTTCATGGGAAAACTCCACATTTGAATATGAAATTAAACTGCACACGTGATAACAATATTTGTCAGGTACTGAGTGCTTTGTATGTGGGCCCAGGCACTGCAAGTTAGACATCTCCAATGTACAAGTAAAAAAACTGAGGCTAGTGTCAATAAGCAAGTGAGAGTTTGGATTAATTTTTTAAAATTCTGATTAAATAATCAAACCACCACCTCAGGTTCTCTTTTATACACCCCAGTTCTTCTCTGTATCTTCAGAGAGAAGGTAAGTCATTCTATATAGTTTTATTTTCCAGTGGTTAAAGGTATATCCACTCAGGAAGCGAAATGAAACTGAAAGCTTTCTAAAATTATATTACACATGCCCGGTGGTGTAGTTCAGTGGTTGAGCATCGACCTATGAACCAGGAGGCCAAGGTTTGATTCCTGGTCAGGGCACATGCCCAGGTTGCAGGCTCAATCCCCAGTGTGGGGGGTGCAGGGGGCAGCCAATCAATGATTGTCTCATCATGATGTTTCTATCTCTCTCTCCCTTCCTCTCTGAAATCAGTAAATATACATTTTTAAAAATAAAATTATATTACACATTTTTTTGCCTTTGTTGTTACACTGAATGCTTACAACGTTTTCCTGAAAACGCATTCTTTGCATGGGTGGCGCAGTAACTGATGATGGTCCAGGGCTAGGGGGGCAGGAGGGAAGCTACCGGCGCCCCACTGCCTGCTTTTCCTTTGCTTGTCAGAGCGGGATTTCATTTGCCCCCTGGTGGCTGTTCTTGTGCTTGCAGCCCTTTCACTGACTTCGTGGGAATCTCCGAGGGCCTTAGAAACCAAATCATCAAACCAGTTAGAATTGTGTGTGAAGTACAAGTAAATAGGCCTGAAAGGCTGGCCGATAAGGAAAGCATCAAGAGCGCCGACTCCCTAACTTCCTTTTTCATGTTAGGGCCCCTGATTAATACCTCTTTAAGTTTTATGTTGTGTCCAGATAGATGAATGCGCCATTTAACTGAGTTCCAAGTGAGGTACAATGAAACTTTCATTAAAATAAGATCAAAACACACACACACACCACACACGATTTTTAAAAAATGTTGTAAAATTGATTTTAGAGAATGAGGAAGGGAGGATAGAGATAAAAACTTCGATCGGTTGCCTCCTGTACCCCTCTTACTAAGGATCGAGCCCGAAACCTAGACATGTGCCCTGACCTGGAATCAAACTGGTGACCTCTTGGTTCATGGGTCAACACTCAACCACTGAGCCACACCAGCCAGACCACACACGATTTTATATTCTCATTGATTCTGACCTACCACACTCAAAATTTCCACCAAACTAAACAATAATGTTCTTTCTGAAAAAAGAAATATTTTAATACCCATTGAACATTTGTTTATATTGCTTTATTTATTTATTATATTTTTATTGATTTCAGAGAGGAAGGGAGAGGGAGAAAGAGAAATATCAATGATGAGAGAGAATCATTGATCTGATGCCTCCTGCATGCCTCACACTGGGGATCGAGCCCCCAACCTGGGCATATGCCCTTGACCGGAATCGAACCCTGGACCTCTCAGTCCGCAGGCTGATGCTCTATCCACTGAGCCAAACCGGCTAGGGCTGTTTACATTGTTTTATTAATAAATCTTTCTTTAGTAAGAAAATAATGGGTATAACTTTAGATGAGTTTTAATGTTCCTGAAAGTATCAAAATGAGGTCATATGGTGTTGTAGGCCGTCTTAGTCCATTCAAGCTGCTATGACAGAATACTATAAACTGGATGTTTACAAACAACAGAGTTTATTTCACACAGTTATGGAGGTTGGAAGTCTGAGATAAAGGTCCCAGCAGACTCAGTGTCTGGTTTATAGGCTGCTGTGTCCCCCGATGATAGATGGGTCCCACCTCCTAAGACCATCACTTTGGGGATTAGGATTCAACATACGAATTTGGGGGGAACAAAAACATTCAGTCTATAGCATATCAGCACAGTAAGGGCACAATACAGGTTATTATTTAAACATGAATTCCGTGGACATTCAAGTAATTCTAATAATCATATATTTTATTCTAAAGCTTAAAAAAAAATGGTTCCTGCCACCCCTCGCCTAGCAGAGGTAATTGAGCTAGTTGTTACAACGTTGCCTGACGGGAATGCTGGCTGTCTGAACTGGGAATCCACTATCCTCTATCTAACCCAACTGCCTCATCTAACACACAGGAAGACAGGGGCCAGCCAGTACGTGAATCTTGCCCAGAGACCGCACTTCGGGCTGAGCCAAGTGTAAGCCAGGGTTCTTGGCGTTAACACAGCCATCTCTCTCCCTTGGGTGGCCCCTCACCATTTACAAAGAGCCCCCTCGGCTCCCTTTCCTTTATTATACAACATCTATGAGCTCATGGAGCTGCCTTTCCGCTCTTGCCTTTGGGAGGCCTTTTGCATTCTCAGACCTGTGCTGCAGCAGCTGATTCTATACTGACCCTAAAATTAAAAAAAAAAAAACAAATACATACGCTCAAACATACTTAAATGTGTGTATGTACATATACAGGGTGTCCCAAAAAATGTATACACACTTTAACAGCTGATAGCCTCAGCTGATGCTTCCTTCTTTTCAGGTTTAACCCACTGGAATGAATAATTATTCAAAGCGTGTATACATTTTTTGGGACACACTGTACATGTATGTATGTGAGAAACAGCACCATATCTCCGAGACACCCCCTGCAGGCTACATACGCCCTGGCAGACACAAAGCACAAAGAGAGAATGGTCTTCGGTTTGAGAATTCCCAGTTGCCACTGGAACTTCAATAGTAACGGGCTTAAGTGCCCATGTTTTCAAGAGGCGTGGGAACACTTAGAAGCTACTCTTTAATGAGTCTCATTTTGAGACAAGGGTGAGTTCAGCCAGCCACTCTTCATGCAGTTTTTCACTAAGTCCTTGAAGAATAGTGAAGCCAATTCATTTCTCCTCTCAGAATTTTTCCTTATTACTATTTTTCTTTGTTGCAAGGCGTACTATATGGGTATGTAGGCATTATAGATACAGGTATCATGTGAGGGAGGAAATCAGACAATAAGTCCAAAAACGCCATGGAAATTAATCATCCAAAGTCAGAGGTAGGGTGGCAGGCGACGTATTCTTTTCCCAGAGCTGTTACCCACAATGCAACTGCCCTCAAAAGCAGGAACGGAACAAACTAGACATTCGGCTGCAGAAGGAAGCTGGGTCTTGGCTTTGGAGCTTCTACTGTCTTTCCAACGGGGCTGGGCATCAAGTGTCTTTTCCAGAATAGGCCAGAGAAGATAAGTCCAGTTTGGTTTTGAAGGCTTCCGTCATCTCCGTGGCCAGCAGCTCATGGAGGGACACGCCGTCGTGGGAGTACACCCAGTTCTTCCCGGTCCAGTCGTAGCGCTTGGGGCCACTACAAGACAAAACGCACACACAGCTCATCCCGAGGACAACGCTTTAGAAGAAACACTGGTTCCACAGAGTGAAACTCTAGAAAGTAATGTTTAATGAGGCGTATATTTGACTTTTTAGGATCTTTCTATTTAAGAATAGTTACACAGCCCGGCCAGTGTGGCTCAGTGGTTGAGCATTGATCGATGGACCAGGAGGTCACAGTTCGATTCCTGATTGGGGCACATGCCCGGATTGTGGGCTCGATTCCAAGTAGGGGTTATACAGGAGGCAGCCCATTGATGTTTCTCTCTCTCTCTCTCCTTCACCTCCCTCTCTCTCTAAAATCAATGATATATTTATTTAAAAGAAAAGAAAAGAAAATGTCTGCTTGGCAGATTTTCTCTCCAGATTTCCATCATGAATTACAGACTTTAAAAAAGTATATATTTTTATTGATTTCAGAGAGGAAGGGAGAGGGAGAGAGAGAAACATCAATGATGAGAGAGAATCATGGATCGGCTGCCTCCTGCACGCCCCCAACCGGGGATCGAGCCTGCAACCTGGGCATGTGCCCTGATCGGAATCGAACCTGAGACCCTTCAGACGCAGTCCGACGCTCTATCCACTGAGTCAAACCAGCTAGGGCATGAATTACAGATTTTAAAAAAATAGTACAACTTGGAATTTCCAGGAATTATTATCCAGAAGTATATGCTTCTAAACATGGTGGGGGTCGGATCACGTTGCTGGTATGTGTGTCCAAGTACGATATGGACTTTTCAGTTTCCAGACACAACAAAGAGTTCTTTTAGTGGAGCCATCACCGTTACTCCTGGTGCCCTGCCCAGTGTTTACAAAGCCACAGATGCCCAGAGCTGATGGCTGGACTTGAGCGGATCCACCCAGTTTCTCATACTGGTTCCTCTGAGGACGAAGGATAAAAATTTACGGCCCTCAGGCGTGACCACGGTTAGGAATGAGACAACTGTTTGAGGCCAAAGAGAACAGGCTAACTGGCCCACACAGGGTGAAACCCCTCAACTTCAAATGAGCATAGGCTAAAAAAGCAATCAATTTGTGATTAAGGGCCTTACCAGAAATGACAGTGATTTCTGGAATTGTTTTTGTTGAATTATAACATACTCCCTAGATGTGGTTGGGACGAGGGGGCGCATAATGTTTTATTAAACTGACTAACAGTATATTAACTGCCTAAAACTGATATCAAGGTTGGGGCAGGTGACAAGTTAAATTTTTTAAAAATGCAAACGCCATCAGGCTTTCAAAGAATTCTATGTCTAGTTATATCTGAGCCTTTCCCAATTCACAGTCAGTATGTTCTCTTCGGAAGGGTTAATGAATGACCCACAAAGGTTGGCCTACAAGCTTTCAGTGGACGTCTCTCTTTTACTTTCTTATAACCACTTCAACTGCAGCCAGAAGGAGGAGGAACCCTCTCTCCCTGCATGTTCGCAGGCTTTGAGATGCAGCACAGGCCATCTCAACACAACCTTTTATCCCACTAGATTGAAAGCACATCAGTGGAAAAGGCAGCAGGGCTTAAATGGCCGGAATAGCAGCGTAAAACACTCTCCCACCCCCACCGAGCACATAGCTCAACTCTGCAAATGGAATTCAACTAACCTTTAACTGAGATGCTCAAAACAAACCAGAGGTCAAACTTTAACTTGCTTTGAAGACAAAGTACAGCTTGTTCAGATGCTGCAATATCAAAAGTGGCTTTTTAAAAAGCAGGGCAATGATTTAATAGAGAAAACCTGTCCAGGCCGGGTTCTGACAAGTTATACACTTTTCACTTCAGATCTTGTTCACAACCCAATATCCGCGTACAGCAGCCAGATGATCAACAGACAGAAGTCACATGACCAGAGTAAACTTTCCTACTGAGAAGGAGACTTGCTGTCAGACCCCAGGAAAGGTTCGCTTACACAGACTCCAAAGCCGGAGGGGGACACCCTCTTCAACGGTCCACACGTCATGTTTCCGACAAGCTAACAACGCGAGACTTGGACTTCGGAACGTACCTGGATGGCGAAGATAACCAGATCTGCTTGTTGGGGGTCTGCTTGTTGATCACGTAGGTCCCTAGATCGCCGCCCAGTTTAATTGTTAAAACACCACTCTAGGGGATCAGGTGGACAAAAGCGTGAGGAAAAGAGGAAAAAGTTATCACTTCATCATAATTGCTCTGCATTTTGTTATGGCTCAACACTTTGCATTCATATAAGTACGCAATACACGTCATAAAGAAATGTCTTTGGTGTTCAGAAATAGGAAGAAGGTCATGCAGAAAGAACATTGCTCTCAGAATCAGACCATGATTACTCATAAACTTCTGTCTCACAGTGCTTTCCCTCCTTCCCTGTGAGCTCAGCAAGGCGAAGGTAATCACTCTTCCCCTCTAGAGAGGAGGAAACGGAGGCACACAGGGCTGCGCAGCCTGTCTGGGGTATTGCAGCTGCAGCACAGAAGATCCGTATGCCTATCTCTGCCTTGTTTGCACAGCCGCCAGCAGAACATGCTAAAGGGCGTTAAAAACCTCGGACACCAGCTCTCCTGGAGTACCACGGTGGCCCACACCTGAGATAGGATAGGTTCATTCCCCAAAAAAGGAAATCAGGCAAGAAAGAAGGATGTAACTGAACCATCTGCTTTGCTCGCCTTGGCCCCAACGCTGCTGGGAGAAGGCAGACACTCCAGACCCTTCCCAAGGCACCTCTTCAGCTTCGCAGATGCGCCTCCCCAGCTTTATTTTCCTCTGCAACAGCCCTGACTTCTTCAATAGACCAGTTGGTCCAACTTTGCTCAATAAATGCTCATTTAAATTTGAAAACACTCTTTCAACAAAGAGCCCTTCAGTCCCGAGGCCTGAGGTCTCTTTAGAACACGCGGAATAGTAAGGAAACGGCTACCCGGCCAAGCTCCCTTTCCTGGGGCTGGGGGGCTGAGTAGCCTCTCTCTGTTCCCCATCCCTGCACAACCCGCAGAGATCCACGGCGTCCTTTCCCTGTGCCTTCCAGAGCCCCCGTCCAAACCAGGGGCCCCGAATGGTTCTTACATTTTGTGTTTGGTTCACACACACAGAGCTATGGAAAGGATGGAGAAAGTGCCAGGAATAAGCTAACTGATGGGCCTGGATGGGGAGGATGCTATTGGATTATTTTTTAATAACCTTTTTTTTTTCTGATTAAAAAGAAGCAGAGAAATCATAGAGACGTTGGGAAAAGGAATGATGTGAATGTGAACCTGCCCTCGACCCTCGGCTACTTGAAGCATCTTGTGAGCAGATCGGTCTGTTCATCCTAGCATCTTCAGTGTCTAGCACACCCATTCTTCATGCAAGATACATTTGTGGATGAATGAATGAGGAAGTGGAAGCATCTATAACCAGGTACTGTGATAACTTGTGTCCAAGTTAAGGGCCAAGTTATGCAAGGCAGAAAGTCTCAACACGCACCACCCCCACCTCCTTCCTGTTCACTGTGTGCCATTAGGTTTCCCTCCTCTATGGAGCTTGAAGCTGTTTCGGAAGGAAAGTGCGAGAGCAGGAAGGAAACGGGCTGCCTTACTGGTTCTCCAGGAGTTGGTACTGCGTTTGGAGCTGTCTGCAATAGACCAGACGAAGAGGCCCGCTTTGTTCTTTATTGCTATTCCTGAGGTAGCCCTCTGAGTCTATTTTGGGAATGTGGACAGATTTAAAGGCGGCGGCGGTGTGTGTGAGAGACTTAGAGACATTTAGCAGCTGCTGAAATACAGGCACCGGTTAATCAGAACAGACCCCGGCCACAGCTGGCGCGGCTCATGCATCCCCGCCCATCAGTGGCAGCTCTACACAAGTGGAAGCAAACAGCCATTCCTGTTGTCACCAACTGACTTACAGAAATAGACACATACGGGGTAGCACATTAAGTTAGGGGATTTCTAGTATATGCGGCTTCCCACACTCCTAAAGCAGACACTGACTTCCCATGAAGGAGTAAGAATAATGACTGTGAAGCAAGTGTCCGTAACCTGAGACCCAGAGGTGGTTTTCAGGGATCTGCAAACAGCCCCCGCCCTGAAGCTGCGCAGACGGATGTGTGGAGAAGTTTTTCTCAGGAGAGGGTGTAGAGCAGACAGATTCTTACAGGGGATCCTGACCCCCAAAGGTTAAGAAACCCGTGCTCTCTAGCAGTAATAGGCCAGCAACTTAGTCCATGAAGAACATGGCAATAAGCAAATTCTCTCTCTCTCTTTTTTTTTTCTAAAAAGAACAAATGCGTTCTTGGGTGTATCTGGATTACTGCTTTCATTTGCCAACTTGGCCAGCAGCAAGTTGGCAAAATATCTATAAATGCTGAGGAGCATCAATGAAAGTGTGTTTTGGAGAGGAACATGGGCCCCATTTCGTTGACACAGCGAATCAACATTATTACTTGGCAGTGTTCCTCCAGGCGCTGGGGTACCAAGCACGGACAGCGTCCCTGCTGCCAGAAGTCAGTCCCATCGTGGGAGCTGACGTGCAGACAGACAGTTAGAATGCAGGGTGATGGTGCTCCACAGGCATCCTGAGCGCTGGGCGAGGGAGGACCAGTCTGCCTAGAGCAGCTAGAAGGCTTCACACCCCACGGGACCCTGGAGGGGTTCAGAACAGGCCTCCCCAAAATATGCCACTTTGGCATGTGGATTATTTTGAGTGCAAGGCAACGGAGACCCTGCGGCCCCAAGAGAAACATTTACCTCTCCCTTAAGGGATTTATATTTGGGGCCTTGACCATAATAAAAGTTATTACCAGAAATAACTTTTTATGGCGTATTTATATGACAAGGCAGACTTCTAATTACAAAACATTTGCTCTTTTTACTGTCCTGCAGTGACCTTCCTCCCCTCTGAAGCCCCAAGGCGCCATACCTCATTCTCAGCTCAGGATGCCATACATACCTCATTTTATTTTATTATTATTTTTTTAATTGATTTTTTACAGAAAGGAAGGGAGAGGTATAGAGAGTTAGAAACATTGATGAGAGAGAAACATCCCCGCAACCAAGGTACATGCCCTTGACTGGAATCGAACCTGGGACCCTTGAGTCTGCAGGCTGACGCTCTATCCACTGAGCCAAACCGGTTAGGGGACATACCTCATTTTTTTTTTTTTTAAATATATTTTTATTGATTTCTTATAGAGAGGAAGGGAGAGAGACAGAGAGTTAGAAACATCGATGAGGGAGAAACATCGATCAGCTGCCTCCTGCACACCTCCCACCGGGGATGTGCCCGCAACCCAGTTACATGCCCTTGACCGGAATCGAACCCGGGACCCCCCAGTCCGCAGGCCGACGCTCTATCCACTGAGCCAAACCGGTTTCGGCGACATACCTCATTTTAACTGTCCCCGAACCTCTCATGTATATGGGGTTTCCGACTCTCGTATATGTGGGGTTCCCCTGTGTCTGTATGTAATTAAAATTGGTTATTTCCCCTTGTTAATCTGTCTTATGTAGATTTATTAGAGCAGCTGAAAGAACTCGGGAGCATAGAGTAAAATTTCTTCTCCCCAGAGCCCTGAGGGCAGGAGAGACTGTATTCCAAGAAAGCTCAAGGAGCAGAGTTAGAGGTGTTCTGCTGTCTACACTCCACCTGACAAGCTCGGGGGAGGCCTGGGTGGCGACCTCACAACCCAGAGAACTACAGCAGCCACAAAGGATGGTCTGAAATGAAAACGTCCTAACTAATAGCAGGTTACGGCAGGCAGTCATGTCCTAGGCCAGAATCTTCCCTGACAAAAGTCAATCTTTACCTTAATTAAGCCTGTTTTCTTTTTGCATCCACGATAAGATACTTTTGGAATGTCTAAGTGATTTCCTTTTTCTGGACCCTGAAAAGACAGATACTGCACCAGAGCAGAGGTCACAAATCCCCATTGTCATCGAGTTAATTATTGACTGTTAACTACCCTGTACCCATCCGGGTAAAAGAAGTATGTGTCTATATTTTGTTAATCCTCACCCGAGGATACTTTTTCCATTGATTATCTTTTTAGAGAAAGTGGAAGGGGAAGCGGAGAAGAGAGAGAAAGACAGAGAGAGACAGAGACATCGATTGGTTGGTTGCCTCCTGCACACGCCCGGACTGGGCTGGGGATCGAGCCTGCAACCGGGAATTACGTGCCCTTGACCAGAATCGAACTCGAAACTCTTCAATACTTGGGCCGACAATGCTGTAACCACAGAGCCAAACCGGCGAGGGCTATCATTTCACTTTTTATCCAATTCCAGAAGTTTCCCCGCGTTGCCTTCTCCTGCCTCCCTAATCTATCACCAATGGATTTCATGTAACCCATTTACGCCCTCTCTGTCCTCTTCTGATTGTAATGTATACAGCAGGGTGCAGAACTGTCATTTTTCCAGAGCTTTTTCTCAACCTGTTGAGATTTTGCTTCCCGGCAATCATTGTCAATTTGGCTCAAAAAACTCACAAAAATTCTCGAAAGGTTTGAATGCTTCGTACATTGACATGTCTTATATGTGAAATATGTAAGTTAGCACTTGAAAGGTTCTAATCAGGAATCATACCTCAGGAGAGTTAGCATTTCAAAGTATTTAATCAGAAGCCTAAACTACAGAGGCAGCTACTATATGTCTTCAGCAAATAATTTGCCAGGAATAATTTTATTCTGGTGAGTCGTATGATACTCAAGGTATATGGATTGGCTGGAAAAACAGACAGACAGGTGCCTCTTCCCTTGCAGGAGTGGACTACAGGGTCTGGAAGCCCAGCAGCTGAATTACTGTTCAGGGAGACACTGGAGGGAGGACTCATTGAGGTCCTGTGACCCACCACTGAGCAGAAGCTTTTGCTGCTGGACTCAGTGAGGTCAGCAGAATCCAGCTGCTGGAATACTGGCACAGCTGCTTCTAATACAACATTTACTCCAAGTATTTGGGTCAAGGTGGGGCTTCAGCAATCCTGTAAGAACAGGTGGTGTAACGGTTTTTGTGACCTGTTAATAAATGCTTGCATGTGTGGCAGAGTTTAGCCCTTACACACACAAAGGGCTTTAGCTACAGCCCTTGGTAGCTAGGAGAAGAGGGGACTGTAACTTCCCTAGCTTGAGCCATCCCTCTGAGGCCATCTGTATGGCACTTCTAAAACCCTGCCTGGATACTGCGGCATGCCCAGCTGCCGGTAACCCTTAAAACTGCTTGGAAGGCATTCATTCCTGTTTTGCCCATTGTCTCTATTTTTTACCAAGTCCCTGCTGTCCTTACAACCAGACTTTGCTGCCTATTCCTATTGGGATGATGCTCAACCAACTGAGCCACACTGGCCAGGCTGCCTGCTCCCTCTGAGGGAGTCCCTTCTCTATCCAGAGCTCCAACAGCCATATCCAACAGTATTTCTATCACTTTAGCCTGACAGCTGGGTGTCCTAAATAATTCCACGGTTTAATCCAACATGCACACTTCATGACATTTCCTGATATTAATTAAGTGCTGTCAAGAGGATTAACCTCTGCAGGGGATTTTCTCTGGATGGCAAAAAAAGAACTGCTCCCTAAGGCCTAAGCAATACAGTAATTCTAAATCCAAAGGCTGACAACTGCTAAGGTCTGCCACCTGGCGGCCAGTCGATTTACACCAGCACTCCACTGGCTTCCAGGATCTGGGGCTCAAGTTTCATTCAGTCCAGTAGTTCTGGCTTAAGCTGTGTATTAGAGTCAACTGGGGAGAAGATTAAAAAAACTTTAAAACTTCAATGCCTTGTCTGGGCTGGACCCCATATCCGTTAAATAAAAACTCCTAGGGCCCTAGCTGGTTTGGCTCAGTGGATAGAGCATCGGCCTGCGGACTGAAGGGTCAAGGGTTCAATTCCCATCAAGGGCACATGCCCAGTTGTGGGCTCAATCCCCAGTAGGAGGCATGTAGGAGGCAGCTGATCAATGATTCTCTCTCATCATTGATGTTCTCTCTCTCTCTCTCTCTCTCCCCCTTCTTATCTGGAATCAATAAAAATATAGTATTTAAAAACTTAAAACACACATACACACACACAAAAAAACTCCTAGAAGTGGGACCTAAGAATGCACATTAGAATCTCACTTGAACTTTTAAAATATATGCATCCTATGAATGCACCCTGACCTACTGTATCAAAATCTCCCAGGAGTGGGGCCCATGTCAGTGTAGTTGGAATATTTCTCAGGCAATATCTTACTCAGAACTAGTGGTCTTGTTCAGTGTTCCACACGCCTGCCTGATAAGACAAACACATGCTGGGTCCCTTTCTGATTTATCTTTATGGGTCTCAAATGAAACGTCAGAATCTGTATTTTTCAGCAAAAATGAGGATCAAAGAAGTTGAGTGACACGCCCAAGATTACAAGCCTGGTGGAGCAGGGCTGGAACGTGAACCTAGCCTTTTGGTCTCACCCTTAACCACGTGCTGTTGGATGCTTACCTCTGCCGGAGGGGAATTCTTTATTTTAGTGAGCTAAAGTTCTTAGGGAGGAAACAGGAAAATGAAAATAAGTGAAGAGGTACCCCAAAGGAGACGTCATAGTCTTCACATGTGTACGGTTTGTCTGCAAGGTCTTCAAAAAACTCTGCCAAGGAGTCCAGGGTCTCCTCGGCCAGTCTTTCATAGGTGGTCTCATCTAAGGAGCTGCAGGGAAAAAAAACCACACCAAAAACATATGATCAAACCGCTCCATTTTATTAACATCAAATCACCACATTTATTTTTAATTTAGATTTATAAAACTGATGGAAAATAGCTAACATGTACAGAGTGAAAATTTAAACAGCCCTGGCGAGTGTTGCTTAGTAGTTAGAGTGTCGGCCCACACACCGAAAGGTCTCAGGTTCGCTTCCTGTCAAGGACACATATCTGGGTTGCAGCTTCGACCCCCCGTCCCAGTTGGGGCAACCAATCAATGTGTCTCTCTCACATCAATGTTTCTGTCTCTCTCTTTCCCCCTCCCTCCTTCCCTTTCACTCCCTCTAAAAGTCAATGGGGAAAAAACATCCTTGGGTGAGGATTAACAAAAATAAAGTATAATAAAATAAAAATATGAAGGGCTGCCCTGACCTGTTTGGCTCAGTGGATGGAGCGTCGGCCTGCGGACTGAAGAGTCCCAGGTTCGATTCCGGTCAAGGGCATGTACCTTGGTTGCGGGCACATCCCCAGTGGGAGATGTGCAGGAGGCGGCTGATCGATGTCTCTCTCTCATCGATGTTTCTAACTCTCTATCCCTCTCCCTTCCTCTCTGTAAAAAATCAATAAAAATATTAAAAAAAAATATGAAGGGCTAACAGAAAAGTAAGCTTTTCTTTCCAAACAGGCAGCCTCATCCCCAGAGTCAACTATGATTGACAGCCTCTTCTGTATCCTTCCAAAAATATTATATTCTTTTCAATAAACAAATGAAGCACATTAGAAATTGTCCCATCTTAGCACATAGGGACTTTCATAATATTTCATTTTATATTATTTACTCAACCTATCCCCTTCAGCTGGACGATGAGGTTTCCATTGCTTTTAAATTAAAATGTATGCCCAGCAAACCATAAAGTGGGGTAAAGTATATGCATTACACACATCTGAAAAAGTACTTGTATCTAGAATGTATAAAGAACTCTTACCAATTAATAAGAAAAAGAAAACCCAATAGAAAAATGGGTAAAATACTTGAACAGATTTCATTCAATGAAAAGATATCCAATGAACATATGAAAAAGTGAAAAACTTCGTTAATCTTCGGGAAAATTTAAAAAATTGCTATGAGATACCTCCAGAATGGTTAACATGAAAGAGACAGATAATGTCAAGGGTTGGCCAGGAAGTGAAGCAAGCAGAGCTTTCATTTATTGCTGAGGGGCCAGTAAATGGGATAATCAGTTTGGAAAACTATGGGGCAGTATCTGCTAAAATGAATATAGACAAATGCCGTTAGTTCCACGCGTGGGTATATACCCAACAGCAATGCATACCAAGCAGAAACAGACCCATAAGATATAAGAACAAAGTGATGCTTGCCAAGTGAAGTGGCGGGGGTGGGGGAGGGGCAGAATAAGGGAAAGGAATGAAGAGGTACAAACTCCCAGTTATAAAGTAAATAAGTTATAAAGTAAATAAGTTAGGGGATGTAATGTACTGCACAGGGTATACAGTTAATAAGGTCGTGATAACTTTGTAGGGTGACAGGTGGTTACTGGATTTATTGATGATTACTAGATCATTTCCTAAGATATATAAATGTTGAATCACTATGCTGTACACCTGAGATTAACATAATATTGTATATTATACTTTATAATAAAACTACACTATACTTTAATAATAATAAAAGAAATACATACCTAGGTTCACCAAAAGATATGCACTATATTAGAATGTTCATAGTAGAAGTACCCTATAGCCCCAGAATGCACACTGCCCAAGTACCCATAGGAAATACAGATAAATAAATTGTGGTATATTCATGCAATGGAATACTATATAGCAAAACAGAAATGCCTATAAATATAACAATATGGACAAATCTCACAAACATCATGGTGACTGAAAGAAGCCACACACAAACCTATTTATATTTAATGATACAGTTCATGTAAAGTAAACAACCAGGCAAAATTAATCCAGGCTATTGGAAATCCGAATGGTCGTTACTCTGGGGTAGGGAGGGGTTAATAACTAGACGCGAGCAGGAGGCTTGTTCTTAGGGGCTGGTAACATTCTACTTCTTGGGCTATTTTTGAGTCACATGCTATGTTCATTTTTAAAAACTTTATCAAGCTGTACACGTATAACTTGGAGACACTCATATTTTTCAATTTTAAGAAACTGTTATAAATCCATAGAAACAGAAAGTAGATTAGTGGTTGTCAGGGGCTTGGAGAAGGGAGGAATGGGGAGTGTTTATCAATGGGCATGCTGTTTCTCTGTGGAATGATAAAAATGTTCTGGAGTTAGTGGTGAAAGTTGCACAACCTGTGAATATTCTCAAAACCACAAAACGGTACATTTTTAAGATGGTACATTTCAGGGTATGTGAATTACAACAATAAAAACACTGCTCTAATAAAATTCCTTGTATGAGCTTTGGTGCCTCTATGAAGAAATATGTGTAGGCTACAAGACGTGTCCCAGACAACTCCATCATCTGAGTTTCCAGGAGGCCTAAGGTAAGACACCAGTGGCTGTTAGATAATTCATGCAAGACAGAAAGATCTGCCAAATGACCACCCACCACCCCCCTCAAGGGTCAGATGTGGGGAAGGTTACAGAACTGAATAGGAGATGGTAAGGGGCTCTTCCTTAGGGAGTGGTGGGCCTGGCTGGGTGTGTTGGAGAGAACCTGGAGCAGAGGCTGACATGTGTCCTGAGGAGTGTGGGAACATAAAGACACAGCTGACTCAGGCGTAAAGTTCAAAGGCAAGAGCTTGGCAGGTGCTACCTGACAGCAGCCAGTTGGGCCATAGCAGAAATGGGCTGTCCTCCTACTCACAGCAGGACAAAGAAGCCAGAAGTAGACCCTGAAGAAGGGATGCACTTGGGGCATCCTGCAAGGGCCCACGGAGCCTCAGAGACCACCTGCAGGGACAAGGGGACAGCAGCAGAGAGTCTGTGCGGGGAGGAGCTGGAAATGGCGCTAACATAGGCCGCTCGCAGCACTGGCTCGGAGGCTGTGTGGAGGGGCCAACGAACGCGGACACAGCAGGCCGGGCGCTCTCGAGGTCCTGTGAACCTGCTGCCTGGGAGGCCAACACCTGCAGTTGTGGGGATGGTGAGCGTGTCCCCGTGTAGGGGAGGCTCCTTGCTGTTAGCTGGTGCGACATGAAAAAGGTGAAGCAGGAGAGAACTGGCACAGCTGCAGGTCGGTGGGATGAAGCTAAGCATTTGGGGATTAAAGGCTGCACACGGACGGAAAAGCCAGAGGAGAATGTAAGGCCCTGAACAACAAAGGCCTCTCGTTAAGACAAAAAGAGGATCCAATCCTGATGCAAAAACAGATGGAAAGAGCTGAGCATGGGGTGAGGATGCAAAAAAAATACAGCAGTGTGGGGCTTCCATCCATGGAAGAAATTTGGATGTGGCTACTAGCTTCAGGACTGACCCAGGGTCTAGGTCCGTGGTCGGCAAACTGCGGCTCTTTGGCCCCTTGAGTGTGGCTCTTCCACAAAATACCACAAAATACCATGTGTGGGCACGCGTGCACAGTGCGAATGAAACTTCATGGCCCATGCGCAGAAGTCGGTATTTTGTGGAAGAGTCACACTCAAGGGGCTGAAGAGCCACATGTGGCACGCGAGCCGCAGTTTGCCGAGCTGCAGTTTGCCAACCACTGGTCTAGGTAAAAGGGGGAAAAAAGTTAATAGAAGTGCGTGTATGTGTAGTATACATGTTGGTGTGTGTATTGTGGGGGGGGGGGGGAGAGGGAGAGAGGGAAAGAGAGAGACACTTGATGAGGAGGGTGTGTTTATCTTACCCTGGGTTGCCCAAACTTCCTGTTGTCCTCAAGTTCATCAAACAGACATTCTGCTTTTTGACATTGAGAATCTGGTTGAGGCAATAGAGGCTCAAACCCTAAAGCCAAAGTTAAGAAGAACATTACCATTTCTCAGTATATTACAGTCCATTCGTGAAAGTTAAATATCACCACTTCTCCATTGGAGAGTAGCCATGTTAGAATTTTCCAGGTGTATGCCTCAGAACTTTTCACTTTAATGTATTACATTGAGTCTCTCTCTGAGCCTTGCTATCCAGTATGGTAGCTATGAGCCACAGGCAGCCTTTAAATGTAATTTTATTGCAATAAAATAAAATGTAAAAAGTCAGTCCCTTTGTCGCATGGGCCACATTTCGAGTGTCACATGGTTTCATGTGGCTGTGGACCATCATCACAGGAGGTTTTACTGGGCAGTGCTGCTCCATCTAGGCCAGCGGTTCTCAACCTGTGGGTCGCGACCCTTTGGGGGTCGAACGACCCTTTCACAGGGGTCGCCTAAGACCATCGGAAAACACATATATAATTACATATTGTTTTTGTGATTAATCACGATGCTTTCATTATATTCAATTTGTAACCATGAAAATACATCCTGCATATCAGATATTTACATTACGATTCATAACAGTAGCAAAATTACAGTTATGAAGTAGCAACGAAAATAATTTTATGGTTGGGGGTCACCACAACATGAGGAACTGTATTAAAGGGTCGCAGCATTAGGAAGGTGGAGAACCACTGATCTAGGCTGACAGGTGACACCCTAAGCATCAGTGACACTCCTCGCACTTGACTAAAACAAGCAACGAGGAACAGCACGAGGCAGAAGTCTGCGCCCAGAAGAGGTTCTGACTGCAGACAGATCTGATTGATTGAAGGATCTGCAGGAGACAATGGGACCTGTTGAATTCCTTTCACTATGGAACTGCTGAGCATCCAGCGAGTCTGCCTTACATCCAACCTACTGACCAGATGGCCAGGGAGAAAAGAACGGGAGTGGGTGGGGTGCTGGTGAGTGGAGAGCTAGAGAGGGGGCCTCGCAGATGGTCTCCCCAGGCAGGGCAGGAGGGCAGGGACCTGTGAAGGGAGAGAAAAGTGGTGCAGCCCGAGTGGAGATGGCACAGGGACACCCTCCGCTGGACTTCATCCCGGGAGGGGGGGGGGCACCGAAGGGCTCTAAGGGGTTGGGATAATATTTGCATTCTCCAAAGGCCACTCCGGTTACCACTAAGAGAAGGGGTCAGAGGCTGCAGTTATGGCTCGTGAGCCATCATGCCCTTGGCTAGAAAGAAGGCAGAGGGCACGGGCTGAGAGGTGAACCGAGGAGGAGGGCAAGGGGGTGCGGAGCGCAGGCGGCTTGTTTAAAAAGGTTGGCTCTGGAGGAGCAGTCCGAGCAGCCGTGGCGACCGCAGTGACAGCCACAGCACAGCCTGCGCTGGTCACCGATGCGGGCACGGCTCCGCACAGACCCAGCCCCGCTCAGCCCGCCGCCCGCGCCGTTCCCGCGGGAGCCGGGCGGCGCGCGTGCGCAGAACGTCGCCGTCGTGCGCGTCTCTGCGTCGGCGCGCGGCCCGGGCGGCGGCCGAGCGGGTACTCACCGCCTGGCGGGGCGCGCAGGCCGCGGCGGTCCCGGCGCGCAGGTATCGGCGGCCGCCGAGTGCGATGCTCCTTGCCGGCCGCAGGGTCCCGGCTCCGGTTTGGGCCGAGTCCCGGAGCGCCGAGCGGGACAGGAGGCCGGCAGCCCAGCGGCGTCCGAGCGGCCACATGCTCCCGGCGATCTGCGCCGCTCCGCCCTCCCGCCCGGAGACGCCGCGGCGACCCCTAGTGGCCGCGGGTTCGGGCGCCGCGCTCAAGGGCTCCCACGTAGGCTGTGTCACACGGTCAGAGGTTAGACCTCGGGAAGAACTTCCCAGCGTTGCACTTCTCGTGTATTTAACAAAAACGGAGAGACCCTCTTGGACCACGTAGTGAACGAGCGACTAAGGCTCCCGAGCGCGGAGACCTTGGCCTGGTGACCCGTTGCTGCAGACAGTCTACCAGGAGGGCTGTGGGAGCTGCAGTCTGGCTGGGAACGGGGCAGGTGCAGGTCTGAAAGCTGCCTGGCGGCCGGTATAGGTGACAGACATGGGCCGCCTGGTTTAAATCCGGACCCTGCATGCACCCTTGCCAGCTGTGTGACCAGTGTGCACTTCATTAACCTCTGTGCTTCATCTGTAAAATGGGGTTGATAAAAGTTTCTACTGCATAGGGTTGTAAGGATAAAATGAATTAATCCATGCGATGTTTTGTTGCACAGGCTCTGGACCCGAACAAGTGCACACTATTAAGGTGTTATAGAATTTTAAAAGAATTTTTTTTTTTTTTTAGGTTGTATATTGCAAAGGAATATAAATTCTAGGTCATTAAAGGGATGTAGTTTGGGGGGGAGTCTCCCTTTGGGGAGCAGTCATCATATTTTGAGGAAATCCAAACTACCCAAGCAGAGAGATGACACAGGAACTGAGGCCTCCAGCCAACTCCCAGCATCAGCCACTAGACATGTGAGCGAACTGGTCTCCAGGTGAGTCCAGCCCCAGCCTTGGAGTCTTACAGCTGAGGCCACAGACAAACTGCCCCTGCTGTGCCCTGCCTGGATTCCAGACCCCAAGGATTTGTGAGCATAAGAGATGTTGGCTTGAGCTTAAGCCAGTACCGTATGTGTTTGGGGAATCTGTTTCACAGCCACAACAACAGGAACACGTGGCTGCCTCCTCCTCATCCTCTAGTAACTCCAATGTCAGATAAGACGTCCTCCAGTCATGTCTTTCCTGAAACCAACCCCTCTATCTCCACAAATGTGTCTTAGGCACCCTCTGTGTTTCTGCAGCTTGTAAGGTAATTGCAAGGGTTTTTTTTTGTTTTTAAGTATGATTTTATTGATTTCAGAGGGAGAGAGAGAGAGAGAGAGAGAGAGAGAGAGAGAGAGAGAGAGAGAAATGTCAGTAATGAGAATTATTGATCAGCTGCCTCCTGCACCCTTCCCACTGGGGGTCAAGCCTATAACCTGGGCATGTGCCCGGACCAGAAACTGTGACCTCTTGGTTCATAGGTCAATGCTCAACCACTTAGCCACACTGGCCAGGCTCTGTTGTTTGTGTTTTACCTGCTGACTCATTGTCTCCCACACTAGAATATAAGCTCCATGTCTATCCTGTTCACCATTGTATCCCCCGTGTTAGACATGGTGCTGGGGAGATAGCAGGTGCTCAATAACTATTTGCCAAAAGAGTGGATCAATACCCCTTCTCTGTGACCTGCTAGGTAAGCTTTATCTGTAGAATGGGGATCATAGTGGTACCTACCACCTAGTGTTGAAAGAATTAAGTAAAATTACTGTCTAATTTTTATGGTAATATCATCTGGCACATAGTAAGACCTCAACAGTTATTATTTATTCTCTTCTCTTCCTCTGTCCCTGAGGTCTAGGCTCACCTCTGACCCTGCTTGGGCAAACTTGGCTTAATCACTGACACTCTCGGGCTGTCAGAGTTTATTCAGTCAAGTATTTATTGGAGCCTACACACGGTTCTAATGCTGGAGATGTGGTGATGAAGAAAATAAACACAAATCTGTGTTTTGCTCTCCGGGAACGTAGTGGCCTAGATACTTTCTCCTGAATCCTCTGTCGCGCAGGAACTAGAATTATCTGGCTGAGTTCTGATTAGATGAGGGAACGAGAATGGCCCAGCCTGACGACTTGGTCTGGTCATCAGCTTAATTTAATCTAGCTCCCGCAGGTTTCTAAAATTACATGGCTGACATCCTCCAACGGTGCACATTTATTTGATACAGCACAGTGTCCAATGGTGTCACTGCAGTTCTTCCGTCTGAGAGCACACTGAGGGTTGAAGAGTTAGAGGACAGCTAGAAGAGCCTTCTCCTACAGGGTCTTGGGGAGGGTTGGAGGGAAGAGAGCAGCACAGGTGGTGGCAGCATCCAAGGAGCCCCACTTTGGGCTAGCATTTCTTCTCATTTCTCATAGCAAACCTTAAAGTGTCCCTCTTGTTGGAAAATAAAGCCAAAGTTGTTGTAGAAATGCATTCTTTTGGGGCCAAAAGAAAGTGGTGTAAGGGGGTGGCTGGGGTGCGAAGCAATTGCTAATACAATTCTCTCTGACCTGCACCTAATTTCAGATGAAGAAATGGAGGTTCAGAGAATTTAAATGATGTGCCCATGATCAAAATGGCCTCCTGATTTTTATTCCTGTGCTCTTACCCTGCGGTCTTAAGAAACAATAATTTCCCTAGTTTCAGTAGATCTGTCCCAGGGGAGAGCTCTGATTGGCTCTGTGATCCTATGCCCACCCCTTGGAGCAATCACTATTGCTAAGGAGTAACATGATTTGGTCGGTTCCCGCGGGGGGGGGGGGGGGGGGGCAGGGAGGAGACATATTACCAGATGAAGGAAGATGATAAAACTTGCCAGGATACCAAAAATGAGTACTATCCCCAGTTCATCATAAATTATGAAAACTTAAGTCTCCAAATTCTCATTCTTGCGAGGCTCTGGGCTTCAGCTCAGCGCTCTGACTCAGAGCCCATCACTTAACTTCCTGCCAGGAGGCGACTTCAGCTCTGGGGAAAAGCAAGCCCATTATCCATTATATTTGCTTGGATTGATTGATACGAGAAGTTGCTGGGGATGTTCTCTGACATTTGCTAAGGGCAAATTTTTCTATAACGAGGGATGAGAAATTGCAGTGTGTCCCAGGAGACTGATTGCAGGACCAGAATATAAATCCCAGCTCTGGAATGTAATTTGATAACATGATCTTGACCTTAATATAGATTAAGTTAAAAAGATAGTGAAATTAATTGATCAATAATTACAAAATGTTTTTGACAACAAACATGAAACGGGCATTATTTAAATACTGTGCTGATTATTGGAACTTTCAGAAAAAAAGGAGGCTTGGATCTATTTGCTGAGAAAGGTTCCCTACAGGGTCCCTTGGGCCATGTGTGATTGTGTTTGATCCTTGATCTGACAGATTAAGAAAGCTCAGGCAAAGGATTCTCACTGGTTGAGAGGACAAGAGAAAAAAAGCATGTATCTGACATAGCCCTTTAGAGAGTAATTTTTCTCGTTGAATTGGTGTTAATATGCCAGTAGCTCTCAAGCAAACAGCCTGCTATAGCAAAAACAAGTAGACTTCGTGGACTCAGGCAGATGTATTTGCAAAGCACAATTTTCAAAAAGTTGACATACTTCTCATACAAATATATGCTGAGCATGTGTCAAAGATGAATTAATTACAGAGATGTTATGGGCTGAATTGTGCTCCCCCAAAATTCATATGATGAAATCCTAACCTCAAGTAGTACTTCAGAATGTGACTGTATTTGGAGATAGAGGTATAAAGAGGTCATTGATGTTAAATGGGGTCATAAAGCTGAGACCCTAATCCGACATAACTTGATATGCTTATAAAAAGAGGAAGAGACATGAGGGGTGCATGTGCACAGAGAAAAGACAGCATGAAGAGGCAGCAAGAGGGCGGCCAATTCTAGCCAAGGAGACAGGCCTCAGAGGAGACCAACCCTACTGACACCTTGATTGTGGACTTCCAGCCTCCGGAACTGTGAGAAGACAAATTTCTGTTGTTTAAGCCACCTAGTGTGTGATATTTTGTTATGGTTGTCCCAGGGAAATATGAGAGGGAACAGAAGAAAGGCAAAGCTGGTTTCAAAGAGGATTGAAGAGACTGATTTATCTAGTTGGTGATAATGAGAATTCTGGAATAAGATTGCTGTTAGTGTCCTTCAGGTCTATATAACTATAACCTTCTTAGACAAGAATCATCAGTTTTCTACAAGTTGACATTCTTGAGGCCTAATTAATAGCAGGTAATAAGTCAAACATAGTCCCATTGTCCTAGAACACAGTTTCTCAACAGCGGCACTATTGACCTCGTGTACTGGACAATTTTTTAAAAATATGTTTTTATTGATTTCAGAGAGGAAGGGAGAGGAGAGAGATATGGAAACATTAATCATGAGAGAGAATCATTAATCGGCTGCCTCTTGCACACCTGATACTGTGGACCAAACCTGCGACCTGGGCATGTGCCCTAACCAGGAAGCAAACTGTGACCTCCTGGTTCATAGGTCGACACTCAATCCCTGAGCCAATTTTTTTTTTTTTTTATAGTGAGGTTTAGTTTTTTTTTTTTAATCCTCACCTGAGAATTTTTATTTATTTATTTATTTATTTATTTTTAGAGAGCGAGGAAAGGAGAGGGAAACATTGATGTGAGAGAGAAACATCCATTGGTGGCCTCCCATATGCGCCCCGACCAGGATCAAACCCACAACCTAGGTATGTGTCCTGAGAATTAAACCTGCAACCTCTGGTATACAGTATGGTGATCCAACCATCTGAGCCACCCAGCCAGGGCATGGCCTGGACCAGCCATGGGCAAACTACGGCCCGCAGGCCGGATCCGGCCCGTTTGAAATGAATAAAACTAAAAAAAAGACCGTACCCTTTTATGTAATGATGTTTACTTTGAATTTATATTAGTTCACACAAACACTCCATCCATGCTTTTGTTCCGGCCCTCCGGTCCAGTTTAAGAACCCATTGTGGCCCTCGAGTCAAAAAGTTTGCCCACCCCTGGCCTGGACAATCTTGATTCTTTGTTGTGGGGGCTGTCACGCGCATAAGATGTTCAGCAGCAGCCCTGGCCTCTATCCACTAGATGGCAGCAGGATTTGCTCCCCATTCAGTTTTTGACACTTAGAAAGGTTTTCTGATGTTGCCAAATGTCCTTTGGGGCTGGGGGATTGCCCCCAATTAAGAACTACTTTTGTAGTATAATTGAATTAAATACCCAAAAGTCATATTTTCGCCTTATTCCCAAGTTTTATTTAAATGTTGTTAATAGTGTTCAAATCACTGCTCTGCCCCTTGCTGTGTGTCCTTGGTCTGGTTTTTAACCTGAGTTTCAGTATTTTCATCTGTAAAACCAAGCAAATACACTTTTACCTCAGGGGTTGGCCTGAGGATTAAGTGAAACTATATGTGCAAAACACGGATAATAGCAAACTCAAGTAGCCACACACTGGCCTCATGGCTGGCCGTGCACCTGTGGCCTGGGAGGATCATAGACAGCGGGGTCTGTGCTTCAGGGGACTGCTGGCTGGTTCCCATCACTGAGAAGCCAGGTCCCTGCCGCTGATCTGGGCACCTCCCCTCCCCACTACCAACAGGGCAGAGGAGTGAATGGTCTTTATAAAGTTAGGTGAAGACAGGAAGGCAGGGTTACCCTTCCTTTCCCTTTGGCCATCACAGTGTGCCAGCTTTCTTCTCTGTCCCTCACCTGATGCAGTTGTCAACCCCCTACACTGCTTTCTGCTAGGACCCAGGGCCCACCTGACTTCTCTCCTCTGCCTTGGGCAAGCACAAGTGCCAGGGTGTAGGATTGGGGCTTCCCTATCAAAGTGTAACTGGCATCTTTGTTGCTATCCTGCTGATTTTCAGAAGAGAGCTTGTTGATCAACTGAATTGAAGTTATATGCG